TCAAAACCCATTTACCTGTGCCACTAAGGGGTTTACACCGGACCTTCAATTGGAAGTGATTTAAAGGCAAATGTAAATGTCTTCTAAGAGACAAATATGCTCAGTTAAAATCATGTTTGTGAAATGATAACTATTTGGCAGTGCCTAGTTATGTAAAAGACATTTGCAAAGATGAAATATGTAAAATCTTACTACAGAATTAGCCCTAAGATGAACATTTGTAATTTTGATGAAAGGGAACCTCAACCTGACAAATGTTATCTCCTCCAATCCATTCTTATTAGTAGCCCTGTATCACCAAATTGTAGCCAATTATCATACTTTGAATTTCATCAATAAAAAATTTGTGGAAATTTGTTTTTTCTCTCATTATATAAGTACCTACATAATATCCTCGATTTGGCCTCTTGGCCAAATACATCTGGTCCTTTACAGAAAAAGTTTTTTGACCCTGCCCTAGAATTTATGTTGTCATTGGGGAGGGGAGCAGGTCAGTGGCAGCGGTCAGAGTGAGGCCGTGCTAAACACTGTTCTGGAAGCAGCGGGGAGCTAGCTCCAGATTAAAACATCAGCTACTTTATCCCCATTGCATCTAAACTTGACGTTTTCCTGTCAGCCATCTGTAATGCTTTTCCGTTTACTCAGTTTGTTCACATAGTCCTCACGCTCCTCCCCAGGAGAGAGTAGAACTCTCAGACCGACAAATCTAAGTAAGACAACTTGGAATAGGATTTAAAGTTAAGCTGGAAGTTGAGCTGGTAGCAGTTTAGCACTTGATTTGACACCTCCTTCAGAGCGATGTGATTTACTGAATTGTTAATCCCCTCTGTGTCATCACTGTTGGCTTTAGTGGGGCAATTGATTGAATCTAGATTTCGAGTAGCCTGATTTTTGCTGTATTTTAGCATTTCGGAAAATAGTAAATGTTGAAAATCTTTGATTTTTTAAAAAACTGGGTGCACTTACTGGATTTTAAAAGTTTTTAGAGAAGTATTAGTAGTTTTGTAAAGTGGTTTAGCAGTAAAATATGCTATGATGCTATCTGTAAAAATACTGGGGAAAAAGTTTACCAAAAGGCTAATAACATTATTAATGGTGGGATGAAGGGTAATTTTTCCCTTTTCTCCATTTTCCAAATTTTTTATAAGTGGGCATGTTACTTTGATAGTACTCTTTTATAAGTAAACCATTAATAGTGTAATGAACGTGATGTCCTGAAAAGGAGTGAAAGATGGTTTTGATTTAAAGTCAGACCCCAGTGGGGCAATTATGAAGGCACTGCTCCTCAGTCAAGGTGCAGCTCTGACCAACTGCAGTGTCCCTCCAAGCTTCACCGAGTCCTTCTGCTGGTCAAAGGTGTGGCTTTCTCTGACAGACTCATTCCTCGGGCCTGAATGGTTTCTTGACTCACCCTGGCCACAGTAGGTCACCAACGCCTCTCAATTCAAAGCTAGTCTAGGTTCATTGACTTTTATCCTTGAGAGCGGGTATTCCTGAGGGAAGGGAGTGTAAAGAATTAGTCCTATGGCGCTGTGCCCTCCCCAGATCGTGGAGGAGGAGAGAAGGTGGTTGGCGAGTCTTCCCTTCTTGGTCGGACCCCAGGGCTTCTTGGGTTTCCTTAGAGCTGGTTGAATTGAACAGTGAATCTCAACCTGTTTCTTTGATCTTGTGCTCTTAAATCTTTAAAATGGAAAGATGGATTGGAGATTAATAGTTGCGCATTTCCACTGAAAATTCTTTTCATTTCAATCTATGAAAATAGAAAAGAGTGATTCCTAAGTCGTTTTCTCCTGGACACTGCATTGCCCATTCGCGCAAGATTGGAGTGGGAGAGGGAACGTGGCAAATTCTAACCAGTTTGCTTCCTGGGTAGTGAATGGTAAATTCCATTAATGGCTTACGCAGAAGGTTAGAAATTTCTCTCATCTGCTTATAGTTGGTTGAAAGGGGGCGCTCTGCTTGTCTAGATTTGGTCATTTGGCCCTGTCACGAGGGGCCTTTCTGCAGGGCAGTCTGCTCTATCGGCTGAGTGACAGGTTTCCTGCATCGTAGTGCTTTTCACAAGGAAATAGAATTGGGCTTCCAGCTGTCAATCAACGTTCTTCCTGCTGGCAGCATCGTGAAACTTGGTATTGTTTTGTGGACTTCGTTCTTTCTGTAACATTTTCATTTCTTGTTATAGTCATTCAGCTGAGTTGGTCTTGAGTTTTTACATGCTTGCTATCAAGGACTATAATTTAATAGTAGAGAAGTACACGTTACTAATGCGCAGTACAGGGTAAGGGCTATAAGAAATGTCTAGAGAGTGCTGTAAAAACTTAGAGATGATACCTTTTAGCTGGGGGCAAGGACAGGAGGGAAAGGAAGAGGCTAAGGAAGGCTTCATGGAGGTGGTGGCATCAGAAGATTCATATTGAATTTAACCTTGAAAGGTTTCTACAGGTAAGGAAGGGACAATGAGCAAAGGCAGGGAGGGAAGTTAAAGCTCTATTTGTAAGACACCAAGGACTCCAGCTGAAATGGAGAGGAATCCAGGGAAATGAGGCTAGACAAGTATACTGGGCCAGACGGGTAGGGCCCAAAATGCCAGGCTGAACAGTTAGCGTTTATCAGTGACTACCGGGGAAACCCGAAGGCTTTGGAGGGGGTAAGAATTAAATTTGGGCTCTAGGAAGAATAGCACTACGCAGCGTAAATTGTATGGGAGAGGCCGGAAGCAAGATCAGTTTATTAAAAGGAACTAAGTCCCTGGCCTGTGGCAGTGGGAATGGAAGTGAAGAGGCTTAAAATGAGGTAATCTATTGCCTCTGTGTCTGTCCCTGGGACGGCTGGAGCCCTTGTGGAGCCCTGGCATCTGCATGCGGCACTATGGACATGGCTGTCCCAAGGAAGCAGGCTCGCCAGGACCCTTTTTTCCCCACGAGGACATATTTCACTTTATCTGATGTCCTGTGTTTTAATCTGACAATCCTAACCACTCCTCATCTCTGCTTCTGGCCCTGAGTTCAGCTTCCTCCTCTCCCATTTCCCACCTCTTCCCTCCTGAGTTACTCTCCTGGTTGGTCCAGAGTCGGGTAGAATATGTGCTGCCCAGGAGAGCTTAGTTTGGAGGAAGGGTGTCTCAATTCAGCGCCGGGCTTTAGTACCTATGTACAGCATGAGGCACAGCTTTCTGTCGAAGCAGACAGGGAGGCAGGAAGAAAGCCCTTACATTCCGATGCCAGAGGGGACAGGAGAGCATCCGGCTCTAGGGAGCCTTTCAGGTGTCTGCCTGGTGTCTCAGAATATACTTGGGTCTGGGAGATGATACTCCTGAACTTGGCTCCTCCCACACCTCACCCCATCCTCATTTCCCCTTCTCAACTCCTCTCCTACGTCACCCATGTCCCACAAAGGTACTTGGAGCTCTTGGACCCAGACAGACTTTCTAAGGTCATACTGTTCCCTTTGCCTAAAACACCCTTCCCACATTCTGTCCCGCCAGCGCCGCTCCTTCCCTGGCCCCAGCCCGGCCTAAGTGTCCTTACTCTGGGTTCCCAGAGAACACCCTGAGCAAACCTCCCTCATGACTTTTTCCACACTTGATTGGTTCCGCCTGTTACTTGTGTGTCTCCTTGGAAACGCAGGCTCTCTCTGGACAAGGAGCTCCTTCATCAGTGCCCTCAGTGCTCATCACCATGCCTGCACCTAGTAGGTGCTCCATAAGTATGTGCTAAATGGACAGTAGGACTCTGGAAGCTTCACTGCCCCTTAAAGCCCTATTTGTGTTCCTCAGGGAGCACCAGCCCCAGCCCCCTACCCAGCCCACACACCTGGACACTTCTCCACACTTCAAGGCTGGGAGGCTTTTCAGCACTTTTTATTAGCATAAAAGAAAACTTACTTGGAAAGTCTCAGCCCTGGACTTAACTGTCCCCTCACCTTTCATATGCCCAGACTAGTAAGGCCCTGAGTATCCTGGCAGGAGCCAGAGACGTGGACCTTACTGTCCCGTGTCCTCTGTCCCGTGTCCTCCAGCTCCAGGCACTGCTCTAAGCCCAGACAGTAGCTTCAGGTCACAATGTTGCTCCTTCCACACTTCCTTCTGCACACGGCCTTCCGTGCCTTCTAGAACCATCCTCGCTGGCATTCACCTGCATTGTTAGGGCATGAGAAAGTGAATAGAGAGAACTATGCTCCCCGCCTGACCCCAAATCTAAGAAACCCTCCACTTGGACACACACAGTGAACAAAAACAGGTGGACGGTATGGTTTGTAAGTGGGTAAGCGGGTCTGGGGCCCTCCACCGGGTAATGCATGGGAGAGGAGCTTTGGGGGTGTCTTGGCTGTTACATACAAAGCAGGAGAGAGACGAAAGTTGGGAGGAGGCCAAAAAGACAGAACCTCCAAGCCCCCAGGTTAGGGTGCAGATAGTCCCAGCTGCTGCAGGTAGGTACTCATTTGAGAAGATGGGGGACAGGCAAGGCTGAGACAATATGAGCTCCTTCCCCAACCTACCTGGGTAGTGCTAGGAAATGGCTCTGGGGGGAGGCAGGCAGACAGGAACCATCTGAGTCAGTCCAGAGGGATGTCACCTGGACTTTCAGTTCCAAAGCAGCAGCCTCCCTGGCCCTCAGCCTGGAGCCCCAGTCCTGCAGGACAGGTGGGGCCTGCAGGAAGTGAGGGAGGCTCCTCATGCTCTATGCAGCTCTTTGTCTGAGCAAGCCCAGGGAGGGCTCAGAGAACCAGGCTACGGATAAGCCCCCTCTGGTCACCATGGCAGACAGCTGACCGCTGAGGACCCTGTGATCTGCAGCTCCTTCGGGCCGGCTTAGGACCTGGGGATTGGGAAAGAGCCACGGGCTGGGGTCCAGCCTTAGCTCTGGGCCTCTTCTGGTGTCCCAAGGAAACTAGCACCCCAGAGCAGGGCCCTCAGGGGACTTGGTAGCTAACTTTTTGCTGGGAAACGAGGGGTTTCACTCCGCGCTCCCGGCCCACCCAACGCGGGGCCATCCCTGCAGGTACCTAAAGGAGTTCCGCACAGAGCAGTGCCCACTCTTCGTGCAACACAAATGCACCCAGCATCGGCCCTACACCTGCTTCCACTGGCACTTCGTGAACCAGCGACGACGCCGGTCCATCCGCCGTCGGGACGGCACGTTCAACTACAGCCCCGACGTCTACTGCACCAAGTACGACGAGGCCACAGGCCTCTGCCCGGAGGGCGACGAGTGAGTGCCCCCAACCCAGCCTGCCCTCAGAGGAGCCCTGTGTCTCCTGGGTCAGTTGCCCTCAGAGTAGGCCAGGCGGAATCTGAGAAGCCAGCCCGAGGCTGCTTTTGGGGGAGGCTGCCTGCAGCCTGGTCTACCTTCCTATGGCCTGGACCTGGGCTCTGGGGGAGGCCCCTTCTCCTTTCTCCACTTTTGAGAAACCCTACACAGGCCTTCTGCTAAGCCTCAGGGCCACGTCTGCACTAAAGTGGCTTCCTGGGCCTTCCGTCATGGTCCCCTGCAAGTCACAAGAACCCTCTGAGGCCTGCCACCACCCACACCATCCCCTGCAGTTCCCAACGAGGCTGGCTGTTGAGAGACAGAGCTCCTCCAGTCTCCCATTTTGCTGACCCTAAATAGTTTACCACAACACCCTGTGATGAGACAGGGCACAACGCAAACAAACAAGGAGGTGGCAGACTCGGAAACATCACTGAGAGGGGACATCCAGTAACCCTATTTGTCATCTGTTTAAACCTACCTTGCAGAGGTGGTGCTGGGAGGTGCTGCTGGGGCTTCTGCGGGCCCAAGTCACTGAACCACCCCTGCACCAGCACCCCTCTTTCTCACAGAGGTCAAGGCTTGCTGACCCCTCCCCCAGCTTGATGAAGCCCTCAGGGCATGAGGCCTTTTGTCTCTCTCAGAACCCGTGATTTGGGTAGCATTTCTTCTCCCAGGAGTGCTCCTCTCTGGAGCTTCTCTGGGACCGCCCAGGGCCTTGACCGAGTGGCCTTCGAGAGGACTTGCTGAGCAGGCTGAAGTGGGAGTGCCAGGCCCTGTCGGGCCCCCCCCGCAGGCTACTGCCGCAGCGCCCAGCTGGCAACGGCAGAGTAGTCTGTTCCCGCAGCAAGGCTCATTGCGTTCCTCCTCGACCCGCCAGCAGTGGCCCCTCCGGTCGGGGGGAAAGGACAGAGGCTGGCAGTTCAGGCTGCAGGGGACAAAGGTGAGTGACCCCCACTTCCGTGTTTCAGGTGCCCATTCTTGCACAGGACCACAGGGGACACTGAGCGCAGGTACCACCTGCGCTACTACAAAACTGGAATCTGCATCCACGAGACAGACTCAAAAGGCAACTGCACCAAAAACGGCCTGCACTGCGCTTTCGCCCACGGGCCCCATGACCTCCGCTCCCCCGTCTACGACATCAGGTGGGCTGGACGCTGCGCTGGGCTGATGGCTGTGGGCCGGGGTGGGGGCCTGGCTGCTGACACAGTGAGTACCACAGGTGGAGTGCAAGGCTGGCACTCTGGGTCCTTCCGCCTCATGCCCCTTCCCCGCTCCCTGTCTCCTCCTCCCAGGGAGCTCCAGGCCATGGAGGCCTTACAGAACGGCCAGACCACAGTGGAGGGCAGCATAGAGGGTCAGTCGGCTGGCGCTGCGAGCCACGCCATGATAGAGAAAATCCTCAGTGAGGAGCCACGGTGGCAAGGTAAGGGTGGCCACACAGATGGCCAGGCCCCCTCCCACCGGATGTCTGTCCTCACCCCTCTCCTGCCCGTAGCTGCCCTGAGGATTGGCTCACCACCACCTACTGCTTTCTGCACCCCAAGCCACCACCTCTGCTGTGAGGTGCCTGCCCCCTCATCCCACCTGACTTCCAGCCAAGCATAGGCTCGTCATTCGGGGGCACTTCTAGGGGAGTTCCCCCAGACACGCCTTGCCCTGCTCCCATCACCCAGGTGCTCTCCCCACACAGACGCGTACATGTGTTTGCAAACCTCCTACGGGTGCCTTTTTCACCCTGTGAGCTGCGGGTATCTCCAGTGGAGGGTGGCGTCACCTTACTTCTCAACCTCCTGGGTTATCTCAGTCTGGGCGTTGGCCAAAGAGGAGGTGGTCCTGTTCATACCTCTCCTGGAAGCCTCAGCTCCTGGACTCCTGCCCCACCTACCTGACTCCTGCCTCTGGCCCCCTGTGCAGAGACCGCCTACGTGCTGGGGAACTATAAGACGGAGCCGTGCAAGAAGCCCCCGCGGCTCTGCCGCCAGGGTTACGCCTGTCCCTACTACCACAACAGCAAGGACCGGCGGCGGAGCCCCCGGAAACACAAATACAGGTCTTCTGGCCCAGGCAGGCCGGCCGTGGGCGGTGGGGCTGGCAGGGATGGGATCACGGCAGGGCAGCTTCCCCTGTGCACTCAGGGAGGCAGGGAGGCCAGCCTGAGGATTCCAGGATGGCCGGGTGCAAGGGGTGGGGGGTAGTCAGGATGGCTGAATGATGGGGAGCCTGCCGGGATCCTCTGCCACGTGAAACGAGGGTCTGGCAGTCTCTGAGACCCCTTCGGTTCTGATGCAGAGGGGCATCTGCCAGGGCTGGGCCGTGGCGGGGGCGTGTGCTGGTGGCTGCAGCCTGGCTCGCCTTGGCCTGCACGGTGCTTGATGGGAGGCCCCGGCTGAGGGAGTAAACCCGTGTCCTTCTCAGCGGTGCAGCCAGGCTGGGCCAGAGCAGCAGAGCCTGGCTTCTGGCCCCTTGAGGCGGGGAGACCAGAGAGGGGCCCTGAACAGGGATCGAGCTGGCATCCCCCAAACCCTAATCTGTCCCTCTTGCGTCCGTCTGACCCACCCTCTCGTTGGACCAGGTCGTCTCCATGTCCTAACGTAAAACACGGGGACGAGTGGGGAGACCCCGGCAAGTGCGAGAGCGGAGACGCCTGCCAGTACTGCCACACCCGCACGGAGCAGCAGTTCCACCCGGAGGTGGGCTCGAGCAGGGGCAGCAGGCGCCGGGTCCTTCGAGGGTGTGGGCTGCTCGATTTATCCTCTGGGAAGCAAGGGGAAAGGGAGGGAGGGTCTGAGCAGATGCTGGCAGAACCCCCCGACTCCATCCTGGGAGAGGGATTTGTAGCCACAAGACCCCCAAGAAGCAGTGCCTAAAAGGAGCCCCGCACCTCGATTTGGCATCTTCCTGTGTTCTGAGCCCACACTCCCCAAGTAGCCCTGTGCTCCCAGCTTGTTTCCCCTGGGCCTCCTGACAGGGAGGGCGTGGCCTGGGCCTGGGGACCTGGCCATCCTGGGCTTTGCACTACTCATGGGGCTTATAATCCAGTGATATCAGGATTTAAAAAATAAGAAAGCCCCTAACAGTTGTCCTGTTCCGGACCAGAACCTAAGGTGTGAGCAGCCTCCCTGATGCAGTTCCCCAGCCCGCCGGCCCCACTGCGTGGCCCTGAGCCATATCAGTGTGCCAAGATCTTGTGTAGTTGCCCAGTTGCATGGAGGCCAGGATACCCTGAGATGGACATGTGGACAGAGCCTACCTTATGTGAGCTGCAGACAGAAGGGTGGAAAGTCAGGCCCAGCATAGACCCCAACCCAGGGTGCCCCGGGGTAAGCGGGTGCTACTTGTGATCTTGGCTCCCTGAACACCCAGAGGCACATAAAGAGGTCACAGCCCTGGCCAAGACCCCGAGCACAGAGCAGCATGGAGAAGATCCCTTTGAGAGCTGTGTCAGGGCTGGTTGGATCTTTGACCCCAGAGGGGAGGTGTCCTTGGTGCAGGACAATTTCCTTATCTATAAAGAGTGTCAGTTTAAGAAGCTGATAGGGAGAGACTTAGAGAAGTGGCATGGAACAGGGAGGGGAGAGAGATTGATAAGCTAACTCACCCATCTGAAGACACCCATGCCTGACTGTCCCTCTCAGCCCAAGCCTGACCCACCTCTGCTTTGCTCTGTCCCTCCAGATCTATAAATCCACCAAGTGCAACGACATGCAGCAGTCAGGCAGCTGTCCCCGAGGACCTTTCTGCGCCTTCGCCCACGTAGAACGTATGCTGCCCCCATCGCCCTGAGCAGAGCCCGCTCCATCCTAGGGCAGGGGATGGCCCCTGCCTGCCTGCCAGCCAGCAGGGGGCCCTGTCCCCACTGGAAGTTCCATTCCCTACCCCACCTTGCCTCTCTGGAGCTGGCCTCAAAGCCCTGGAGTTTCCAAGGTCGTGAGACAGAACAGGGACTGTGCCCCTGTCAGGCATTCATAGTCCCAGGCAGGGGGCACCCCCTCCAGAGCCCACTAGGCAGATCCTAGCAGCCACCCCGTGCTGTACCCACGGCAGACATCACTAATCGAATGTGGCACTCTGCCCTGCTGAGCCCTGCTGAGAGCAGAGCTGTCCAGTCAAAATATAATGCAACCCCCTCATGTCATTTTAGATATTCTAGTAACTACATTTTTAAAAACCAAAAGAAACAAATTAGTTTTGACTCATTATAAAGTATTATTTCAAAAATAATTCATATAAAAATCATCAAGACTTTTACTTTTTTTTCCCACATAGTATCTAATGTGTATTTGAATAGCTGTTACACATTTTGATTCAGAGCAGCCACGCCCCTAGTGCTCACCAGCTGCACGTGGCTTGTGGCCACCGTGTTGGACAGCGCAGCTCGATTCTCCACATTGCAGTCCAGACCCCACTGCCGATCTTGGAGATGGAGCTCGGGTTACAACCTGTGTCCACCCCGAGCCAGTGCTCTGGCTGCCCTTAACCCCTTCCCAGGCTCAGGCCTTCTCTGTGGGAGGGGAGTGAGCACTGAGTACACTGAGGCTCCTGGGAAGGGCTAAGCGTATTCTTGGCACAGAGGTCCCCAGCCTTGGGCACCGTGACCGCTGATGAGGCAGCACAAAGAAGTGATTCGCATCTCAGCTTTGGAGTCACGCGGATTGGAGTTCAGATCCCAGCCTTTCTGTGTCCTAGCTCTGTCACCTTGGGAGATTTACTTTGCTTCTCTGAGCCTCAGTTTCCTTATCTGTGAAATGGAGACCACAATATTACTTATGTCTTCCAGTCATTGTGAAGATTCAGTTAATACAAATTGCCTGGGACCTAGTAAGTGCTCAGGATCTTATACTCATAGAAATGAGGTAGGAGCCTTCCCTTTCTGTCCGGGGGGTGCATGGTCTCCTTTGAAGGAGACCTAGCTGCAGTGCTGGCTCAGGGCTTGCTGACACTGTGCCCGTCTCTTTGCAGAACCGCCCCTCAGTGATGACCCGCAGCCTTCCTCAGCTGTGTCCAGCCCCACCCAGTCGGGTCCCGTCTTGTACATGCCATCTGCTGCCGGAGACTCGGTGCCCGTGAGCCCCTCCAGCCCACATGCCCCTGACCTCAGTGCTGTACGTGCCTGTCGCGGGGGGGCGGGGTAGCCACCATGCCTGCCTGGGAGCCAACACCTACCTCTCATGTCCCCACCCCGTCTCAGCCTGTGCTTGGGGAAGAGGCCCCGGTGTCTGGCCTCAGGCCAAGGGGTTCTGCCCTTTTAACCCCAGGGTTCCTTTTTCTGTCAAAAGCTGGTGAGGGGTGGGGGATGGGGGTAGCGCCCCCAGAGCCTGCATCGGCCAGCCTGGGTAGAGCTGGTAGAAGGCACAAAGCCTTCTGTCACTCACCTCACATGCACACGACTTTCTCATGAGGTTCTGGGTCCCCTGGGTGGTCGTCGCTACCCATTGGCAGATGAAAATGGAACCGAGCCCCTTGCTAAAGAAGCTCCCTCTGAGGGAGGGTTGGGGGACGCCGCGGCCCAGCCTGCGTTTGCCCACCAGCCCACTCCCTTCTTCTCTGCAGCTCCTCTGTAGAAACAGCAGTCTAGGCAGCCCCTCTAACCTCTGTGGCTCCCCCCCGGGCTCCATCAGGAAGCCCCCGAACCTGGAAGGCATTGTCTTCCCTGGGGAGTCCGGCCTCGCCCCTGTCAGCTATAAGAAGGCTCCTGGCTTCGAGAGAGAAGACCAGGTGGGAGCCGAGTTCCTGAAAAATTTCAAGTGCCAGGTAAGGGACGAGAGGGGCAGCCCAGTGAGGTTAGCCTTCTCCATGGAGGGCTGGCCTGGCCTGGCTTTGGGCAGTATGACTAAGAGCTAGGAGGCCCATGTCCTCAGCCTCTTCAAGACTGAGCAGAGTGAGTAAGGTCCTCCCATTCTACAGATGAGGACAGGAAGCCTAGGGAGGCTCCGTGCCTCACCCAGCGTCGCTGAGCCCAGGCAGGGATTCCTGCCTTGGTCTTCTGAACCCATATCCGGTCTTTTCCCTGCTCTGTGCTGCCTCAGTGGAGTGGCAGGGCCTTGGGCAGCGGGACAGAGGGGTCCCTAATGACCTTATCTGAGGCTTGGTGTCACTTGGGAGGAGAGGAGCAGCTCGCCTGGTTCCGAGGGGAGGGAAAGGAGCAGGGGCACGGAGGGAGAACGGGGCATGCGTGCAAAGGGGGTTTGCACGACAGGTGTCTGCAGCCTTAGTGAGCCATGGCAGGTTGATGCTTGGGAGGACTCCTGGACTTGGGGCCCCTCCCTGGCACTACGTTCATCTCATGCTCCCCGACCTTTCTCTCTCAGGCCAAGTTAAAACCCCACTCACTAGAGCCCAGGAGTCAAGAGCAGCCTCTGCTTCAGCCCAAACAGGTATTGAGCTCTCAGCCCCCTTCTGGCACCTGCTGTGGTTGGGACAGACCCAAAACCCCAGAAGGCTGCAGGGAGAGGGAGGCACTGCTTTCTCAACAAGCCGAGGTCAGGACTCAGGTGGGACCCGACCCCCAAATCCAGAGAGGGTGGGGTCAGGCCCTGGAGCCCCTCACCTCCTGGACTCACTCATCAGTCAGTCAAAAAATACTGACTGAGCATCTATACTGTGCCAGGCCCTCGACTCACTTCTCCCTCCCCCATGCGGACTTTGGGGGTAAGTGGGCCCTGCAGCCTCCAAGCCACACCCCTCCAACTCAGTCTCTCAGCAAGGTGTCAAGTGGGTGGGGCCCCGTCTGGGCCTGAGGGTAACCACATGAGGGCCGGGATGCCCCATTTCTCTCTGCCTCCCTTAGCCCTCGCCTCCAGCCCCTGGCCACAGCCTCCTGGGCGGGCATCCCATTGCCTCTCCTCACTCTCTCGTTGCAGGACATGCTGGCCATCCTCCCCGTGGGCAGCCCCCTGACCTCAAGCATCTCTTCTAGTATCACCTCTAGCCTGGCAGCTACTCCCCCTAGCCCCGCTGGCACCAGCAGTGTCCCCGGCATGAACGCAAACGCTCTGCCCTTCTACCCCACCAGCGACACAGTAGAGTCGGTCATAGGTAATCAGGCCGTTTCTGTTGCCAAGTCCAGGAGAGGGTCTGGAGTCAGAGATACTAGGTCTCCGGAGTGACTCTCAGACCAGCATGCTGGTCACCTTAGACATCTGATTGGGGGTCAGCGGGTGGGCGCTCGGGGGCTTTGAGCTAAAGGGAAAATGAGCTCAGGGTCTAGAGCCGACTAGCCCTTAGAGCGGATTAGAAGTGGCCTCTCTTCCTGGGCGAGCATGGTGCCATTTCGTGTGTGTCATTCGGCCCCCTTCCTCTCACTGGGTTTCCTTGTGCAGTGAACGACCCGCACAGCTGTCCTCAGAGTCCCTGCTCTTTCCTTTCAGCAGTCATTCATGGGCTCCACCCTGTGCCAGGTCCTGTCACAGGCACTGGGGTTACAGGCATGGAGACTTGCTTTTCTTGCCTTCGAGGAGGGACACTGTTCCTACCCTCCCGGTCCAGTTCAACAGAGTGCAGTGGCACTTGTCCAGCACCATGCATCGGCCACTGAGGGCCCAGAGATGAGCCTGCCTTCCGCGGGAGACATAACAGCAGGAGACAAGACCTCTGTCAGAGTAGGAACCCTGGATTAGGACTCGATTCCCCTGGGGTATCCAGAAAGGCTTCAGAATGGAGAGCCATTTGAGCCGGACAGGGCTAGGCAGACAGTGTCAGGGGTCGGTGTGACAGGAGCAGCTCGATCACAGGCAGAGGCCCCAGAGAGGACAGGTCATGTGGGACTTGATCACGAAGGTGAGGCAGGGACAGGAGATGAGATAGTAGAGAGCAGGTGGGTCTAAGAGGCGAGGCCTCGAACCTCAGGGTCGTGTGGGCCCTCAGGAGGCCGGGAGGCTCATGCTCTGATGGCTCTGTCCCTAGAGTCTGCCCTGGATGACCTGGACCTGAACGAGTTTGGGGTGGCCGCCCTAGAGAAGACTTTCGATAACAGCTCGGTGCCCCACCCAGGCAGCATCACAATTGGTACTGGCCGCAGGTGGGCGGGTGGCGTGCGAGGGCTCCGAGGCTCCCCTGCCCTCACTCACCCGCCCTCCCGGCCTCTCTTGCAGGTGGCAGTTTGCTGCAGAGCTCTGCGCCCGTGAACATCCCTGGCTCCTTGGGCAGCTCTGCCTCCTTCCACTCAGCATCGCCGTCCCCTCCTGTTAGCCTCTCCTCACACTTCCTGCAGCAGCCCCAGGCCCACCTGAGCCAGTCAGAAAACACATTTTTGGGGACCTCAGCATCACACGGATCTTTGGGTAAGAAGGGGTGTGGCTCCCTGAGACCCGGGACAGGACCCAGGCGTTGGAAGGTGCCTTTGGCTGCTTTGGCATGGCTGGAGGCCGTGCAGCGTGGAGGGCAGAGTAGGGGCTCTGGGGCTGGAGGGGAGTCAGGTCCCTGCCCCGCCACCCCCTTAGCTGTGTGGTCCGGTTGAGTGACTTGGTCTCTCTGCCTTAGTTTCTTTTGCTGTAAAATGGATATAAGGACACGCATCTCACGAGGTGGTTGTGAGGCTTGAACAAATTAACTTGAGGGAAGTACTGGGCACAGGGCCACTGCACATACTAAGAGGCAGTGTCCTCGGAGCCACCACGGCCGAGTTCTGTTCTTCACACCAGCGGCAGTTCCGCAGAGGCCCTTGGAGCTCCCGGAGGTGGACTCACCACAGCCAGGTTCGCAGGAGGCCAAGGGAGCGGTCTGAACAGGTTCAGCCCAGGCTCAGGTGGCCTTCCTGGCAGGCAGGGGCACCAGGGAGATCCAGCTCCAGCCCCGAAGGCCGCTGGCTGAACACAGAACTAGAACGATGCGGACTGAGGGTGCTGGAGGGCACATCGGGGCACAGCGGTTAGTCGTGTGGCGTGCAGACCCGTAGGCTCCGCTCCCACGTGCAGGCCCCTCGGCTTCGCGTGTGTGGGGCCGGCGTGTGTGTTCGCTGAGCTAACAGACTTAAACGCGTTGTAAAGCCTAGCGCCCACCCTGCCACCCCTCGCCGCGGCTGCTGCTCTCACCTCCCTTCCCCCAGCAGCTATTCAGGGAGCTCAGAAATCCCCACCCTGAGGCTGCTGGGCGTCCTGGTCACACCGAGCCACCGAGCTGCCCTTTGGGCCTTTCCCTAACGTCGCTCCGGAGATCAGGGCAGCACACTGCTTTCTGAGCACCGTTCCAGTGTGAAAGTGTTGACGCTGTCAGCCTCAGATGCTTGGTGGCATACTTGTCTGACTCGTTCCACGTTCTGGAGGCGTCTCGACTGCAGCCCTGCTTACTGGCCACCAGCCATTCCTTCCCCATGCAGTGACTGAGCAGTGTTATAGGCACGCTGTGAGCTCAGCGGTCCCTGCGGGCATGTAGCTGTGGCCTCCGGGGGAGGCAGAGGTGACAGACATTAGGTCATAGAGACTGGCACTGCTGTGTGCCATCAAAGGGCCGGGGTTCAGAATAACAGATGTGGTCGAGAGGGCCCTGGGGAGGTGGCTCCTCTCCAGGAGAGCAAATGCCATGTGCGTATGGAGTGTGGAGGAGAGGTGCCCGGGCAGAGCTTGCTGCTGTCACTGTGTGTCAGTGGTGAGCCCGAGTTCCCGCCTCTGGGACAGGGCAGATAGGCTCAGAGACAGCACACACCACAGACCTCCACCCAGGAGACGTCTGTCGTGTTGTGGGTGCTCTGGTGTTGCTTGGAAGACAGAGTGTTCTATATTCATTTGGTTCTGGAACATCCTGGCTGGATTAGGGGGAAGGGAACCAAGAAAGACGTCATTAGAATAATGCGTGTGGGCAGAACGAGGCCAGAGGAGGACGTGGGTCCCCTCTGGAAGATGGGGCCATGGAGCAGGCGCACGTGGCAGTAGTGAACATCTGTTGGATGAGCGTGCAGCATAGCTTACTGGAAAGAGTAGGCCTTGGGAGTCAGATGCCCCGACTGTACTGGCTCCCCCACTTACCGTTGGTGTGATTCTTGCTGACACATCTTGCCTTCGTTTCCTTGTCATAAAATGATGGGGATAGACCCAGGGGCTCCTTGAGCTCTTCCTGCTCCAGCTCTGCCATCATCTGAGGCTCTGGCCTACGTCATTTCTTCTGCATCTCCCAGGCCTCACATGAGGGCACAAGAAGACTCCCCTCCCTCCAGCCTAAAAGTGAAGTCACAAGCACAAATTGCCACCTTCATAGACCGCTCCCTATGGCATTCCCCAGGTCCCCTGAACCACCCTGTGGCATTGATGGGAACCTCGTTTTACAGATGAGGATGCCGAGACTCAGAACTTAAGTAGCAGCTGATAAGTAGCAGGTGGCACCACAGTAGATGCAACTCAACTGCAGCACCTACATGTTCCTGCAGAATTCTCCAGCCTGACCCTGCCGGAGCCTTGTGTGGCTGCCCCTGGAAGCCCCGGGCGGGACCAGGCAGGGCCCACCAGAGCACTGATGTGCCTCCCTTTCCCGGGGCAGGTCTGAACGGGATGAACAGCAGTATCTGGGAGCATTTTGCCTCTGGAAGCTTCTCCCCAGGCACATCCCCTGCCTTCCTGTCAGGGCCAGGGGCTGCTGAGCTGGCCCGGCTTCGGCAAGAGCTAGATGAAGCAAACAGCACCATCAAGCAGTGGGAGGAATCCTGGAAGCAGGCGAAGCAGGTACTGGGCCCCCACGCCTGCCCTCCCCAGGGCCTGGTGGCATCCACCTTGAGCCCATAGCCAGAGTGGGGGAGGTCGGGGTCCTGGAGAACAGGGCAGAAATTCAGTTTGGTTCTCTCTCCTTGTATAGAAAGACTTGCCTTGACAGTCAGGACCCGGGGGTGGCTGGTGTCCCAGACCTGGAGCTCCCTCTGTGAGCTGCCTGTGTGGTCCGGTCCCACAGCACCACTTGCCTCTCCCCAGAAGCCCTGGTTCTCCAGGGCTCCAGTCCAGGGTTCTAGGTTCTGAGATGGGCCCTCTGCTGGGCCCAGCCCCCTTCCCCGCCCACAGAGGGTCTCTTGCAGGTCCTGAAACCTCTCTTCTCTGCAGGCAGCATCAGCCTCCTCCCTGCCCCCTCCCCAGACCGCTGACCCAGCTCCCCATCAGGCCCCGCTGCAGCCACAGTGACTCATACAGGCTCCTGGAGATACACTCTCAAGGGGCAGGGGGGCAGGGGCAGGGGGCCATCGTGACGAGGTGCTGCGTGTTGGGCCCGCAGGCTTGTGATGCCTGGAAGAAGGAGGCGGAGGAGGCTGGCGAGCGGGCCAGCGCAGCAGGCGCGGAGTGCGAGCTGGCCCGGGAGCAGCGGGACGCGCTGGAGGTGCAGGTGAAGAATCTGCAGGAGGAGCTGGAGCGGCTGCACTCGGGGCCCGAGCCGCAAGCCCTGCCCGCCTTCTCCGACCTGGAGGCCCTCTCGCTGTCCACCCTCTACTCCCTCCAGAAGCAGCTGCGGGCCCACCTGGAGCAAGTGGACAAGGTCAGCCCAGGGTGAGGGAGCCCCGGGTGGGGTGTACAGCGGCCTCAGCCGGTTTGGACTCTGGTGGGTCCACACTGCTCCAGGGATGGCCACCGTCCTTCTGAGAGCCTCTGCCCAGCAGCTGGGCCAAAATGCCGGCCTGCTGGCGAATGTCACTCACTGGGGAGGTGAGCGAGCGGGAGGCAGACGGTCCGTGCCCACTCTGGCACTTTGGAGCTGCGTCAGTCCACCTGAGCCCCGAGTCGCAGCCTGACAGCTCCTCTC